GAAGGAAGGAAAGAAGGGAAAAGGAAAAAGATGGGATGGATGGATGAATGGAAGGGAAGGGAAGGGAAGGGGGGAAGGAAGGGAGAGAGGGAGGGAGGGAGGGAGGGAGGGAGGAAAGAAGGAAAAAGGAAAAAGATGGGATGGATGGATGGATGGAAGGGAAGGAAGGAAGGGAGGGAGGAAGGAAAGGAAAAGAAAAGGCAAAAGATGGGATGGATGGATGGATGGATGGATGGGAAGGAGGGAGGGAGGGAGGAAGGAAAGAAGGAAGGAAGGAAGGGAAAAGGAAAAAGATGGGATGGATGGATGGATGGATGGGAAGGAAGGAAGGAGGGAGGAAGGAAGGAAAGAAAGAAGGGAAAAGGAAAAAGATGGGATGGATGGAAGGGAAGGAAGGAAGGAAGGAAGGAAGGAAGGAAGGAAGGAAGGAAGGAAGGAAGGAAGGAAGGAAGGAAGGAGCAGAGGAGGGAAGATGAAGAGGAGGAGGACTGAGGAGTCCTTGGTGCTGTCTCAGCTTGATGGTTTCCTTGCAGACGTTTCATGACCCAACTAGGGAACATCATCATTACTAACCCTGATAATGTTCCCTAATTTGGGTCATGAAACATCTGCAAGAAAACAATTAAGCATCCCACAGTCTTCCTCCTCCTCCTCCTCCTCCTCCTCCTCCTCCTCCTCCTCCTCCTCCCTGTAAACTCCATTCCCTTCTAGCGCTGATGATGTTCCCTAGTTGGGTCATGAAACGTCTGCAAGAACACCCCTCCCCCCAAGCTCAGAGAGCACCAAGGACCCCCCTGCAATACTCTGTGTCCTGACCACTTGGATTCCTTGACCCTTCCCTGCAGCCCACCCTGAGAAGATTAAATATGGAAACACTTTGCTGCCAACTTTTTCCCCACATCTCCTTCCCTCCCTGGTCCTGGATCCCATCCAGAGCTGATCCGATTGGCTTTCTCAGGATCCACCAGGGTGGGACCGGGGCGGGGGGTCTCAGAGGGCGGCCCAAGAGGGAGCAGCCCCGCCAGATGGAAACTTGGGACAGGCTGATCCCAAACCCTTTGGAAAGTGTCGCCGTCCAGCTTTTTCCCCTTTCCAAATTGTTCTTTTTTTTTCTTCTTTCCACCAAACAATCCATATTTATTTATCCATCCTGTCTTTACTTAACAGGCCGATTCAGCCTGACCCACGCACCGACTTGCATCCTTCCCGGGGTCCGATACGAGCCGTGGGGCCGGGACCCCAGATTGCCACGGATTGCCGTCTTCCTGTTTGTGACGAGGCCTCTCTGGGGCGGAAAAAGAATTTCTTCGAGACAAAAGCCCACCCAGGGCTTGCAAGGATGTCGCCTGGCTCGTTCCTCTGGGCTGCTGGCCCTGATCCCCTGCCTGGACCCCCCACCCTTTTCATTGTCGCTCTCCGAGATAAAACCCAACATGTCTTTCCATCTCCAAGCACTGGCTGGAACAAATTCCCATTTCTAACTCAATAAAAGTCGTTTTTTTTCTGTCCGATTGCCTCCTTTTCAATTGCAAAAGTCACCTGGGGGTATCAAACGGCTCGCACGGTTGCACAAAGCGTGGCGCGCTTGTAGGGGGGGTCTTCGCCCATGCAACCTATAATGTACGGCTTAGAGGGATAGGCGAGCCCAGCCAGCTGTGGCTGGTTCAACAAGCCACGGTTAAACAAACTAGGATGAAAGGTGAGGCTGCATCAGCCCAGCTGTTGACTTAACGCCTAATCAAAGTTTAGCCCGACGTGCGACTCAAAGTCCAGGAATATGGCTGACGGTGGGAATGCTGGCATTCTGTTCAATAACTCGGCCCCCTACAGATTTGAGTGGGTGGGAGGGGCTTCTTGTTAAGAGAAGCTGGCATGGATGCATTGCCTCTGGCATCATACAGAGTTTTTTTCTTCCTATCTAGAAGGGCAAACTTGTTCTTAACAGAACAATAACAGAATACATTCTATTATTCTGTTAAAACTCAGGATTGCCCCTCTAAGGAAAAAAAATAATAAAAAAATCTATATGGTATATAGGGTTTCCTGCCTGAGCAGGGGGTTGGACTAGATGACCTCCAAGGCCCCTTCCAACTTTATTATTATTATCATCTGTATCCGTTATATCACGGTTGGGCCACAAGGTGTCGCTGTTCCCTTCACATTTTCATGTCTTTTCACCTCTGAATTTTAAGAGTATTTTTTCAACCTTGGTAACTTTTAAGGTGGGTGGACTTCAACTCCCAGAATCCCCCAGCTGGCTAGGGTTAGGGTTGGCTGGGTAAGAAGACGGGGGGGGGGGAGAGAAAGTGTCCTTCCTGTATGCCGGCATCCCCCCCCCCATCCTGAAAGGTGGGATTTCTCTCCGTTGGGTCAGCCTGGAGGTCGGACCACAACACCCATCCTTCCCGGCTGGAATCCCTGCTCATCTGGGCTTGTCTAGATCCGGACAGGATTTCATGGTTCTTGGGATGTTTTAACTTGCTTCCATTCTCTGAATAAGTTGGATGTTTTCGTAGGTAGATATTGATTAGAGGCTGGTGGGATGAGGAGGGTAGAGGAAAAAATAGTGTTGCTGGTGATTCTCCACCTTGATGCAGAGAAGAAGAGCAGGGGTCTTCAAACTGGGCCCTTTGATGACTTCTGGACTTCAACTCCCAGAATTCCTCAGCCAGCGTGAGGGAACTAGGACCCTTTGATGACTTGTGGACTTCAACTCCCAGAATTCCTCAGCCAGCGTGAAGGAAGTATGACCCTTTTATGACTTGTGGACTTCAACTCCCAGAATTCCTGTCAGGGTGAGGGAACTAGGACCCTTTGATGACTTGTGGACTTCAACTCCCAGAATTCCCCAGCCAGCGTGAGGGAACTAGGACCCTTTGATGACTTGTGGACTTCCAACTCCCAGAATTCCTCAGCCAGCGTGAGGGAACTAGGACCCTTTGATGACTTGTGGACTTCAACTCCCAGAATTCCTGTCAGGGTGAGGGAACTAGGACCCTTTGATGACTTGTGGACTTCCAACTCCCAGAATTCCTCAGCCAGCGTGAGGGAACTAGGACCCTTTGATGACTTGTGGACTTCAACTCCCAGAATTCCTGTCAGGGTGAGGGAACTAGGACCCTTTGATGACATGTGGACTTCAACTCCCAGAATTCCTCAGCCAGCGTGAGGAAACTAGGATCCTTTGATGACTTGTGGACTTCAACTCCCAGAATTCCTCAGCCAGCGTGA